GAACAATAATTTCGCCTACCCCCATCACCGTCCAAAGTTCATCGTGCTGTCACGATTGTCCGGTAGTGTTGCATTATTTTTTTTCTTACAAATCAGAATGACTTAAAATTTGGAGCGTTTATTAATAAAAAATAGGGGAATTTTCAAAAAATATAAAAAACATATTTGACATGAAGAAAATTAACCAAAATAACCCCAAAAAGTTTTGAAGGTATTTTGGTCAATTTTATTTTTGCAGATTATTTTTTTTATATTTTTATTAGGTGTGCTTTAGTAAGATGTACACACGTCCCAAATTTCAGGTCATTCTGATTTGTAAAAAAAAAGAAAGAAAATTAAACAGTATCAGACAATCGTGACCGTGCGATGAAATTTGGATGGTGATGAGGGTAGGAGAAATCACTGTTCATTTTCGCTTATAGGAGTTGGAAAGACTTTTCCTATATATATATATATATATAATTGATCAAAATACCCCGAAACGTTTCTAGGGTATTTTGGTCAATTTTTTTCATTTTTTTCATGTAAAATATTTTTTTATATTGTAGATTCGCCTATTTTTTATGAACACACGCTCTAAATTTTAGGTCATTCTGATTTGTAGAAAAAAATAAAAGAAGAATAAAACACTACCGGACAATCTTGACGGTGCGATGAACTTTGGACTAGTGTTTTAAAATGCGGCCGCATCATGCGGGATGCGTTCGCATCCGCATAAAAACAGGCACATATGCGCTTTTCACAGATACAGCCGCATATGCGCCGCATCGGGCTGCATCGTAGCCGCATCCCCCATAGGCCTCATTGCACCGCATCCCACTGCTACAGTGTCCGTCGAATTTTTTTTTCTGTTTTGCCCCTCGAGTTGGGGCAAAATGGTCTTTTTGACAATCCAAATGTTGGGGAAACTGTTTGGGGGAGTATTAAGGGGCGTAAACAAAGATTTTCAGCCACTTTTGTGGCTTTTTTTGCATCAAATCAAGGTAAAAACAAATTTAGGCGGAATTTTGTTTTTTATCGAAATCTTCGATTTGGCGGTGGTTTGATACTTGGATGTTCATTGGATGCCTTTGATTATTGATTTGGAGATGTTAGGGTGAATTTGTGATAAGAAATCGGGGGTTTCATAGGTCATAAAGAAATCGAGTAGTACTTCACAGAGTTGGTAAATGTTTTTTCCTTCTTGTACTATATTACTATTATACATAATTTTAGGGCAATGTCTTCTTCCCAATCTTCTAGTAATAAGGATCCGGCTTGGAAATATGCTAAAGAAAAAAATCCCAAAGAAATTATGTGATATGCTTGCTCTGTAGAAATACTTATATGGGTGGATAACTGGATACAGAATCTCCGACAGCTAATAGTTTTGAAGTTAATCATTAAACTAAAATATCTACTATCACATATATCACCTTCATATTTTTTCCTATGCATTAACTTATTTTTTAAAAAAATTTAGAATTTTTTTACATTTATTGACCGCATCATCGCGATGCACCCGCATCCGGGCCGCATCGAGCTGCATCGTCGCATCTGCCCCCCACTGTATCAGGGCCGCATCCCACATGTTAAAACACTGCTTTGGACAGTGATGATGGTAGGCAAAATCACTGTTCATTTTCGCCTATAGGCGTTTTGTAGTATCTTCCATATATATATATATATATATATATATAATGCATCGAAACCCAAATACCTTCAAGACAATGGTTCTAAAATAAGAACCTACAATTATTTTGATTGTATAAAAGCATGAGATATGGTGTTGTTATATCAGAACACTTATGCAACTCATAGTTGGTTCTTACAGTTTAGGCTTCAGACCTTAAAAGACTTCTGAAACTGGTTTAAAAACTAGTTTTTAATTTGCGGATCAAATCTCGATATTCTCCTTGCAGAGATTTGACAGTCTCAAAAGAAATTTTTTGATTATAACAGAAGAAGCCTAG